TGGCATTATCTAATACCATTACTGTGTTGCACTTGTTTGAGCAGTTTAATAACACTAAGCTTGTTTTTGTGTTATCACTTGGCTTATTTATTTTTGTCATTGTGTAGTTTTATCATACATCTGAAATTGACTTTCCCCCCGTGGCCCTTTTATAACAAAATACAAGTTTTCTTCCGGTGTGCCTTGAGCTGAATCGATAATTGTGATAACAAAAACAATTATTTTTGAAAAGGGTCACGGTATGCATATTGCATATGTTTCCCTCCTTCTGCTTCCCACTATCTGTCTCTTGCATTGTGAGAAGGTGATTACGGAGCCAGAAAAAGGAGCGGGAAATGGTTAGTGGTCCTGAGGGGGTTGGTCCGAGGACATTAAGCCCACAGCGGCAACGAGCCGCAGCTGTTGGACTTTTCTTTTTTTCTTTTTTTCTTTTTTTACACATTCAGTTGTTTGTCGAATTGAGAGTCTCTACAATTGCCAAGAACCCTCTCTGCCACTCAGGCACTCCAGAACCGTGGTGACAAGGCTGCTCTTAGCCAAATCCAATTTAATCTCCGTTGGCGGTAGTGGATAAAGCTGTCTCCATCCCCCCCCCCCAACTGAGGCCAAGGAAGGCTAGTCACTCCAGTGGGAGATGCTCATTCACCACATCACACGCACACACACACACACACACACACACACACACACACACACACACACACACACACACACACACACACACACACACACACACACACACACACACAGAGAGAGAGCACTAAACTAACATCCTAACATGCACAATTGTGTCTGCAAAGCCACTTTCGTTCTCCTCCCTTCTCCTCCCTTTTCTCTCTCCCCGTTGTGTGTTTCTGCAGAGGGGGGGGGGGGGGGGGGGGGGGGGGGGGGGTAATGATGTCACCGTCATGGAAATGAGATAATGAAATAAAAAGAAGAGGCACATCTGAGACTCCTGTTCCTAGCCTGAAGCTCATCTGCTTGCTCTATGTAAAAACAAAAAACACGTATAGTTATCAGGATGCTGTGTGTGTGAGTGTGTGTGCCCGCAGATGGGTGGGTGGGAGGGGAAGTGCGGGGGGACACTACAACCCGAGATGCGCATTTATGCAAATTCCAGATCTCAACCCACAGGTTCGTGACGACATTTGCTCGACATTTGCAACAACGCCGTTAAATCACAAGTGCTTGTAGAGCAAATAATCAAGTGATTCCAGAATAACTTTGCATTAGTTTGACTGGGGAGATCCACTCGATATTCAGCATTGATTTCCATCTGCAATGTTTTGCACTCCTCACATCAGTCTGAGTGGCAGATATGCTTCTTTGGCCAATGCCGAATCCCCAACACAACAGGGGAAATAAAGTGTATAATAGACCTCAAAATGTGCCACAAGCAGAATTGGCTATTTCTGCTCATTGCTTCAACATGACCTCTGCTCTGCTAACCACCATCTTGTATTAATGCACTGGAGGGATAGTGGCTAAAAGAAAGTGTTTCACAAAAGTCTAGTATTGATTCATTGTACATGTACTTGTAACTCTTTAATAGAATGTTGGCGGGTGTTGGTAAGATCCAATTGGAAGTTTACGCGGAGCGCTGGGGGTTGATTTACTCTACATCGCTACTGTGGATACTTTAAGTGCATTTAGCTGACTACACTTATTTGATTTTGGTCAAAGTGGAGATTTGACCAATGGTGGGGCTTTGGGACCCTGTGCGTTGGTCCCTATGTGCGTACACACTATCCACATCGTGGCCGAATTATGTTTGCTTCTCTGCTGATTTACCGTCAGTGCCAAAACAACATAAAAATGTGCCCGATAAAGACACTGACTGCCAGCAAGCAAATATGGATGTAAACAATGCACCATTAAAATAATTTTTAAAAAAGTTTTATGAGGAAGGAAAAGCCTCAAGGATACAGCATACACGATGAGTTTGTAATCATGACTTTACATTGTTAACAGGAAAACTCCACAGGGTACCTTTTTAAGTATAATAATTACAAATGCAGGACTTGTAGTAGATAGTGCTCAACATTATACATTTCCAGGGTATAAAATAAAATCCCAGTCCTTATGACGCACGTGTATGGGATGTAGTTGAGATGTTCAGAGGTATAACCAGCCATGTCTGGCCTGCTATGCTGATTTCAAAGCGTTGTCTATCACCCTTATCCCCTCTACCAGGACATCTTTTATCTCCAACCTGTCAGCGCGTTGACATCTCACTCTGTGCAACCCCCGAGTCCCAGTCCATTGATGTCTCATTATCCACTGTTAGATGACTTTTCTGAATACATTAAGAGTAACTATCGGCGGTATCAAGTGGTTTCCATGACAACTGAACAAACAGGAAATGATGATGTAATGACGGTGATTTCAGTTCACGCTTTGGGCTAAGCGATCTGAGGTCTTAGCTGTAAAAGGATATGCGAGAACATTATGGCTCTCATTATGTACAGTTAAAGAGAGGGGTTATTTGCTTTTGTGGCTGTAAGCTAAGTGTTGTCTGCATAAAGAAAAGTGTGTTTATGTTTGTAGGAGTCGCAGCAGCAGCTATAGCGGTTGAAGATCATTAATTACGGGAGTTTCCCTACTTTCCTCCAGGACTGATAGTATGCTGCGGAGACACTGGCTCATTGGAGTAAATGGCATTAGCACTTTGTTCGCCGGGTGCCCTGGGGCCTTGTTTCCAAGCCTTTTTTTTGTATCAGGCGGCAGCCTTGCGTGAAGCTCCCTTACACTACAGTCTATTTCTCAGGCTCTTATCCCCCCCTATGGAATTCCCCACCAGTGTATTCATCTCCAAATGGAGAGACGAGAGGGTAAGAGCGAAGGAAAAGGTCCAACGAGGCTCTCAGAGTTCATCAATCTAGGTAGCATTTAGAAAAGGCAAGACAAGCTCGACGGGGCATTAAGCTAACAAGCCAAATGAGACAAACAGCATGGCTGGTAGCAGGGAGGGACAAGTAGTTAGCGCGTGGCTAAGGATACACTCTACTTGAGACTCCCATTGCAGCAGTAGGGAGGGGAGGAGTGTCGCCGCGCTCATTAGCATCGCAGCGTGGATAGAGGTAGAGCCGATCTGCTGCCGGGGCTGAATCTGCAGAGAAGGGGCCCACACAGGAAGAAGCTCCTCCGACATGAAAGGCAACACCACAGTCTGCAACTCCTCGTGATTCCTGCCTGATTTCTTCTTCTTTTTTTTTTCATCTTCACCAATTTGTAGTCCTCCTCCTAATCATATCCCGTATCCGCTCTCTAAATCATCTCATCCCGAAACCTCTTCACTAATCATGTAAGTTGGAGAGGAATAAATGCCTAACAGATGCTAGTATTGTCAGGGGTCGGTTACATGCGACTGCGCCTCCACAACTCAGTGGAACTGATCATTTTGGGCGGTTTACCTAAGATGACTTGTTCCTCCCTTCAGTTTAACCCCCCACCACTTATGTCCCACTGTATGTGGGGCTGTGGATAGATTTGAATGTCCTTACTTTCTCACAAAGGGACATTATTGGTGGACAGAACCAGAGCAGTAACTATGGACGGAAAGCTGTGGGAAGACCTTTTCTGTCCTGAACTTGTACCACAGTATGCCTATTCTCATGAATAGTATGGTTTAATTTGCCCATTTTACAGCTTCTACCTGTTTCAAATCTGTAATTGTATTACATTTGGAAATAATAGGCTCAAATGAATGAAATCTGTCCTGTGAGAGCCACCAATTTGAAAATGGACACTCACTGCTAATATGCTGCAATGAAAGGTTCCTATTCAAATGCCTGTGATGTTTTTGAGTGTTTTAATTGAGATATTTTATTTGTCCTTCTTGTTGTACATGTGGTAATGTTTTCTATTGAAACCCTTCTGAGTATTAAATGAATTCTGAAATGTTCGCAGAGCGAGGACATGAAAAGGACAGCGGAGAGAAATTGGAAATTACTTGTTTTGCAGCCCACTATCAATTGTTCACAGTGGGTCATTTCGTTGACACTGCATCTGAATTATTGCTGATTACACTGGGTCATTTAGTTGAGATGCTTAGTGAATGTCACTTTCAGTGTGAGTGGAGAGAAACTCATTTGTTGCTGCTTTTGTGCTAATCTTTATTTTCCCAACTGTCATTTAGATTGTGCAATTGTACTGTAGAGGGTCACAAGGTCAAATATTGAATCAAAATCTCACTCAAATAAAAAATAAATGTCCCACATACATTTTGTATCTCAATGATCACATATATAAGGTTCCATTTGAGAATTTGTTGTGCTTTGAATTTTTCCCAAATGTCTTTCGCATGGTGCCTTCTTAGAGCCAATCAGCACGCTCGGTCATTCTGAGGTTGCATAGTAATGGCGTGCACTTGCATTACTTTGTAGTGCAAAATAGGAGCATCATTTTTCACCCCTTGCTATGCTTCTAATTTACATTCATGCATACATACAGCTGTTTTCCTATGTTTCACCTTTTGTTAGAGCAAATTAGAAAAACACATATTCATTAATCATGTGTATTGAGTAATGTTAAAAAAATCAGCTCGACGTGATCAGCTTGGTGAAGATTTCGAAAAAAGGGAAATTGAAGCTGTTTTACAGAATTGTTCATACTGTGTTTGGCAGCGCGAGCTCAATCAGTCCCACATATTGTGTGAAAGTGCTCCTCTCACAAGTCACTACCAATGGAATCTAAAATTGGCAGTGAATAGCTTTTCCCAAAGTAGCTTTCCTCCATTTGAATTCAATATGCTAGCAATATTTGAAAAGCTACACTCAAAGTAAATGCTATGAAAGTAAATGAAAGTAAAAAATGCTACTGGTATAAATAACACTGGTTTGTTGTGTGCAGTACAAACCCAGCCACAGCGCTTTAAGGAAACCTTTTTTTCCCACTGAGGCAACCTCTTAAATCAATACACAATCTGTCCTGGTAAACTACTCATTCCTTTAAGAAATGAACAGAATGCTAACACACCTTGTGCTTTTTCTTCTCCGCAGCACCTCCGAGCGTCCGCATTATACACTCGGGGCACGCCTGTAATGTGGAGGAGGAGCGGCACACGGAGAGAGTGTACACCATCCGAGAGGGAGAGACCCTGGAGCTCACCTGCCTGGTGACGGGCCATCCTCGACCACAGGTAAAGAACTCACCCGCCCTTAGCTGTCATCATCACCGAAGCAAAAATAGCCCCGCATGAATCAGGGGACACGTTGCTAATTGAGTCTCTCCTTCCTGTCTGTGTCTCCTTTCCTCACTCTCCGTCCAGCTTGCTTTTTCATTCTGCATCAGCGCCAATGAGCGGCACACCACGTTCCTCTGCACTAAACCAGCTTAAAAGTTTAATCCTTTAATTATTGATGGTTTAGGTTGCATTGTGCACCTGCGTGTTGATAATGAGAGCTTCCCGGAGCTAATGAGAATGTGAAAAACAAAACAGGGCGAAACATCTGCCAAAACAGGCCACAGTGTACCGAGTGCGGGTCATGTGAATGCACGAGGGTCCCCTGCAGCAGAGAGGGAGTACTTCTCAAACTCTTTTTGTTTACCGTTGTGATCTGAACCAATTCAAAAGTCTTTTTTCTGAAGAAAATAGGCCGTTCTGGTTTTGCCTTTTCACTGCTCTTTCATCCAAATCTATAAAAAGACAAATGAAAAACAACACAGATTTCATCTACTTGTTTAGACAAAATCCAGACTGACTTGATCCACGCAGGTATAAATGTCAGCTCTGCCACAAACGACCATCACATTTTCTCCTCACATTACTCCGGGCATGATTTGCACACGCTAACCTTTTGAACATTTATCGAATGTTGTTTCCAGTTTGCCGGTCAACTGAAAGTTCACGTGGGAGTTCGGCTCCTTCTCGGGACAGACAGCGCTGAACTTCTTTACATTCATTCAGATAATTCCCCTGTTGATCGATAGGCAGGGGGATTCATTTGCACACTTCCCCTCTGGACGCAGAAGCAAAAGAGCACATCGATTTTTATATTCACAATTGAAAAGGTGAGACTAAAATTCAATTAGCAAACGAGGTTCCGACATCATCTCCTCTTCTCGTCGAGGGAGGCGACTTCACACTCATCATCGCTGTCTTTCCTGTTAATTAGAAAAACAGAGCAGAGCGAGGAAGGGGGGAGAGGAGAGGAGAGGAGAGGAGTGGGAGATCAAAAGCCCTGCGAGGCTGTGGCAGGAGAGCAGGATTTCCTTTGAAACCGAGTCATTATGAGACTCACGCAGATCCCCTGGCACAGAGGGTCTCTGCTGTGTCTCCCCCAACTCTGGGATGTGTCATCTGTCGCCCCTTCTGGTTGTGCCATGGGACCGCGGGGGGGGGGGGGAGGGGAGGGGAGGGGAAACGCACATTCAGTCTGAGTGCATTCGGGAGTAGACGAGGTTACCTGGGGTGGCAGGAGACTCACGGCTGGGTATGTGATGTTGGTAGGCGACCTCTTCGGAAACACACTCGCACGTTGACACGGCAACAGCGACTCATCTTTGAAATCAGAGTTAAATATTAATCCGCAGAACATGTTCCCAGTCTTTCTTTGCCCCAAAGTTCCACATTTTAATTGAGTTTAGTTTCTTCATCTTTCAAGAAGTGTGGGGGGGGAAAGTAATCAGTGCTCTTTATAAAGGTTGCAGAGCTAGCTTGGTGTCCCCAAGTGTGTGTCCTTGTGATTAAAGCTTTGGGCACAGGTTCGGTTTTAACCTTTGGTGGGGACATTTCTCTCCAACAGTGTGAAAAGTTCCCAGAGTGTCCATACTTACTTACTTCTTCTTGTTTGGAATATACTGCTTTGTACTTGTTCTCGCCATCTGTTCGCTTGCTAACATCCTCAAAACAGGCCCATTATCTTAAAGTACAGATTTTAGTTTCTGATTCATAGACAAATGTTGTTTTATTAGGTTATTTCACATTTGATACATGCATACAAAATAAATGTTGCGAGGAAATGAATAGAAAAGGTGACTTGGTTCCCCTAATTCATCTAGAGATTGTGTGATTTTCATTTTTTTGACTACTAATCGTATCAGTTTGATATTCTTAGGCAAATGATGCATTCAAATGTTGTTGATATTGACGGAAATAACAATACAATAATAACACCTGATACTCTTGGAAAAAGAGCAGTGGGATATGGTTAGGGTTATATGCATCTTTGGCATGTATTTAGATCCAATCTTAAATACCAATGCTACATTTGACTGATAAAAAAATACCTTTTTTGTGCTTGGATTTTACCGACAATTCTGCTTCCTGTAAGGTTAGTCTTCCACCTTTTGCTTTTGGCATTTAAATCAATGTTACAATAAAATGCTTTAACAGTGACTATAAAAAAGCCTACTAACACCTTACACTCAAACTTAAAATCAATTGACTCTTGATTCACCCCCCGTATATATTAAGTTTGAGTTTAACTTTAAATACCAACCTCTTCAAATGTACAGCTGCTCATTTATTTCCCAGGCATTACTGCTAATGCTTTGCTGCGGCAAGCTGTCAATGCTTAGTGTAGCCTGAGGGGAGTTGGATCAACACATCAAGTCGCCCCTATATCTTACTCTTTAACTTTGATTAGAATAGGCTACTTATTGCATTAAACTCCAGACGACTTGGTACAGACCTTTACCGGTACCACCAAGTGTAACTCCTTTGATAAACTCATATAAGATCATTCAAAAGTATTGGTTTTGGACAATTCATTCGCACCTTCCCATTGTCATGGACACACAAATCGCTGAGCTGTCATCTGGAATACTTATAGAGAAGTTACCAGTTAGAGCTACATTTTTTTAAATATTTTACACATACATTTAGTCGCTCTCTTTTTTTGCTTGATAGAAAGGCCACTGCAGCGGGGAGGAGTTGCATAGTGTGTCAACGTTTCGCTGTGACGCAAAGTTTAAAATACATTGCTTCCTGTGCAGCTATAATCGGGGTTGGGTACAGAAAACGCCATCCGTGATGAAAAGTAAAAGATTCCGGGCTTTTCTGAACACATTCAGAGCTTAAGCCCTGTAAGCTCGCCCCTGGAGCCGCTTATGATCTACACCTAAGCTTAATGGGAAAGCAGTTTCTCCCTTCCGTGGAATCATTCTCAATTTTCTTTTTCTCCAACAACTTCTATACCAGCCATAACTTTAACTACACTCTCCGTCTGCACAATGATATCACAGGGGGCCAAGTCACACTACTCCATCACTGTAAATGCCATCGATTAGTTCTGCATTAGCAAATCACAAAATAGCGTTTTTTCATCATTACTGTCCAAATTCCCGTCTCCCTCCACGGCTTTGAAATACTACCAGCTCCCATGATAATACACAAAGTGAGGGGTGTTGTGCCAGGTTCAACATCAGCACCTCGAATGACCAACCACATGGCAAATGAGGCCACGGTCGGCAATCTTTGTCACCGTTTAATTCTCCTCATGCCTATCAATATGCACACTTCTGAAATTACACGGACGCCCCTCAGGCCCTCCCGCTGATGGAGTCTCTGGATTGTGTCCAACCAGGCAGCAGCTCGCACACAGCGGGCCTCTCTGACATCCACCCACTCATCTCGGAGAAAAAGAAAAAAAAGAAAACAGAGGCTTTCTAATAATAAAATCATACGTGCATCCAACCTCACACACAGACACACAGGCACACTCAACACTTGTCTGCCTTCCTATTTAATTGTCAAATAAATGTATGTTCCTGTCAGTCACCAGCACACCGTATAATATGTGCCTCTTGGGTTTGGCATTTCAAGTCGTTGCTGAAGGCTGTGGAGGAAGACTTGGACTGCTGGCATGTGGCAGGCTCGGGGGAGTGGGGGGAGTTCAATCGTCAGAAGGGCAAAGGGCACTGGAAGGATTTGAGGAAGTTGCCTCTCTGAGAATGATGAATATCTTGAATGTGCTTTTCTCCTCACTCCCTGATTTTTATTTTTTTGATTTAGTAACACTAGTGCCGCTCTGAGGCACAGAGGTGATTTGAGCAAGTGAGAAGTCCGGTCATTTTCTCATAGACTTCTATGCAATCAGACTTCGTTTCGTAACCTGGTAAACGTTGTCGATGTCAGCATTGTCAGCATTGTCACAGAGGTGATATGCCTGCAGTGACAATGCTGACATTATCTGACTATCTGTAGAAGTCTATGAGAAAATGACCGGACTTCTCACTTGATTTATACCCTCAATAAACATTTTCCTGATGAGTTTAAGGTCTCAATTTATAGTATTTTTTCAATACAGCATAATGTTCAATAATTAGATCCAATGGTCCCATTTACTCTAAAATGGAAAGCAAGGCGTGTTTGAGGGCTGAACTACCTTGGGAGTTACAGGTCGGTACCACAGGGTGTTGTCCAGTTTAAAAGACCTCAGTGTGTTGGTCTTACAGCTTCATTAAAGTTAAATACAACTTAAAATGTTTGATTGTGCTTAACGCCACCCTCTTATGTCACAAAATGTCATCGAAAGCGTCATAGTGGGTTAAATCATGGTGACTGCCCACTTCTTATATGCAGTTTATGGATAAATATATAAAAGACTAACAGATCCATTCTCTCTCTGTCTCTCTCTCCATCTCCATTCAGTGCCGACAATTGTATGAGATGAATCAATTAGTAGAACATGAAGTTAATCTACTAAGAATTTTAACAACTGAGTCATTTATCAAGCAATGTTCAATATTATAACTTTGTAACAGCTTATCAAATGTGAAAATCAAATGTTTCTCTGCTCTGTATCAATGACAATTGAATATTAATGCAACTTGAAGATGCCACCTGAGGCTTCTGGAAACTTGAGGAGCATTTTTCACTTGTTGCGACATTTTATGGATGAAAAGATCAAACATTTAATCAGAAAATTCATGAATACATAATGCTGAAAATAGATATTAGTTTCAGCCCTGCTGCTATTTAATAAACAGATACAAATAAAACCCTTTGTCTCTGTTTTTGTATCTTTATCTCTGTATCAGCACCACACACATACAGATTTATCTGTTCATACTTTCACGGTCACCGTCCTCCAGCTCGGTTCATTGTCTTTGATGCCGTGAACAGACATCAAAGGGTCCCTGATGATGAAGCCATCTGCCCCCGTCTCCCCTGCCCTGGCCTCCATCCATTATGTCCACACTGCTTTGTTTGAGTACCAGGCTCCCAACAGCCAGCTACACCACATTGCAAACACCTTTTTTTTTTTTTTTTCAATTATTGGCTGGCCAGATTCAACTCGCAGCGCAACGGGTCAGCGAGTACAAATAACCTAACCTCGGGCCCAGGGACATTTCGCTTTATACAGACCAATTGGAGTATGTGATCTGTTTTGGATGCTCTCATGACAGTCTGCCTACAGTACTGGTGTCTTCAGCAGATGGTGCTTTTTTCAATATGATTTAACTTTCAATTTCTGCACTTACAAACGACAATATCAGAAGGGGCTCTGTTTCAGAACTTCCCATTGAACTAGACCCTGTCAACACACCCGCGGTCATTATTACTTATTTTTTCAAAGTCAACTTTATTGTCAATCTTTCAGTTTGTGTGTACAGACAGAGATTGAAATATCGTTTCCCACAATCCCGAATACAAAAATACAAATATATATAAAAATATGTATACAAATATGTATATACCTATATATATACACAATCAACAGACATTTATACTCAATCATCTACAAATTGCAGCACTCAAACATATTGGATGTAGCTCAAAGCGAGCCACCATTTTTTTTATTTGTCAAGGGTGTTTTGATAAGAGATCCTGATTTCTGTTTTTATCTCTCTTCATTTTCAATATCAAACACTTCACTGAGTCATCTGGTCATCCAGTTTTTTTCCAAGGGCCAGTATTTTTCTAATATACAGTAGACCTGTAGTGTCTTTACACTCACAATTTGTGATTCGGACCCCCTGAAGCTTCTCCTGATCGCTTGATTGTCATGCTCAACCACACTTGGCTGCACCAGCGAGCGGCACAGACCACCTTCGGTGCCGGAAAAGAAAAAAGATGGCAAGCAATTAGAAGCCAGTCTGTTGTTAGGGAGAGGGAAACGTCACAGCAGGCATTATGGGAGATTCACCGAAAGACGCGTGCTCTGGCATATGATCCCTGCATAACAACAGACACTGGGCGCATTTTAATTAGCTCTCGCCGTAACATCGCAGCATGTGTAGTCGCAAACACTGCTGGGATTTTCAGTTGGATACTAATCTAGATGAGCTTTTTTTTCACTTTTCTTGTAAGCAAACGTTGATCTTTCTATCGGGATGTCATATTGTTGTATCGACTCTGCTTATCCCTGTGGAACAAAGTGCTGTCATGTATTTAATTAAAATAAATATGCAAAACTGTGCACAACTTTCCTAAACCATGCTGCGTATTACAGCATTTAAATGTCATGGTAATAATATATGCACCAGATTGCAAGGGAAAGACACACATAATCAACTTCTACCATAAAACAGGAGATGGGTGGTACATCCAGTATAGTTTGACTAATTCCCCAGTGTATACTTATGAGCACCTCCAGAGATTCAGCTGAGAAGTGACAAAAGTGCAGCAAAAATAGCTTTTAAAAAAAACTCCACCTGGCTGCCAGTGGGTTAGGAGCGCCAATTATCATATTGCTCAAATCCGCCTGCTCCTCTCAGATCAAGAGTATTTGCATTGCACCGAGGAGAGTGAAGAGGGTCGAACTGTTCTCACCAGGCACACTTCAGGACTCCCCCTGTGGGCAGAGGTGCTCAGATGTGAGGAGTCAAAGTAGTGGAGGAATATAAATAGCTCCAGGGTACGGGGCGAGTTGAAAGCTCACCGATAATGTGGTCTGCCGCTGAAACAAACAGCCGCACTTCCCTCTTGAAGATATGAAGAGTTTATTTGAACACCCACTTCTTAGTGTCACTGCGACAATGCACTTATTGATACTGCGCTTTGCTAAAACTCAAAGCTCTTTACACAAAAGGCAAAGGAAATCACTGGGGGTATAAGCTGGTAGAATATTGAATTCTGCTGAGGTCGCCATACGCTAGCTTGCTTTGTATTTGCGTTAAGGGGAAACCGGGGCGCTGTAGGAGAGTGACACAGAATTCCCAAACTTCCTCTAATTTATAACCATAACTTATTTAACTTTGGGGCTGCTTTTGCTGAACTCATGATGTCCCTAACTGTTATAATTGGTCTATTTTCTAACAGCAGCATCGATCAATTGCTGAGTTCGGGCTTTTTTCCTGAAGTGCTTTCTTTCAATGTCTCTTGATGCATTTCTTGAAGGCCAAATGGAGCAGTTTCAGCGCAGTGTATTAATTTAAAGGCATTTATTTCCAATGGTTATATATCCACTTAAAGGCTATGGATGGTACATCCATAACCTCCGTCTGGCTACAGAATTGTATTTTCAGTGAAAGAGGTCGGAGAAGAAATACAGCACGCACATTCTTTGGATTTCAAGGAAGCTAATTTATTTCTCACTCTCCGAACGGTAGCACCCCAAGCACGACTAAGAATCTGAAACTCCTCTGATGAACTTCTGCTGCATGTGAGTCCCTCTCCCTGTCATCCACCAGCCCCGGGCTACCAACAAGAAATAGGAAAAGGGCACCATTATCAGGTTTTAGACAACCAAGCTTTCATTGCCTTTCTCCCGTCTGATTGGAAAATGACCAAACTTCTAAAGGGTGGTAACCCCGGGCTGGAGTCGTCATGGTTAAAACCCCCCAGCTAGAGCAGCATATCTCCCCAGATAGCACCCAATCTTCATCCCTCCATGCTGTGATATCCCTGTTCCATCTGATGCTATCTCTAAAATGGTATGGGATCAGTATCAGAGATGATGCTATCACCGTACAGTGTGGAGATATTGGATTGTAATTCATAGCCTCCTCCTGCTTAGACGGAGATATGTGAGGCTGTGCGAGTAAAGCCAGTGCATCTGCGGCTTACTTAGGGAAAGGGATTGAACGGTGCTTTATGCTCCGTAGCTGCCTATGTGGCCCCCAGGCCAGAGCAGTCACAGTGCCTGTTCATGCTGTATGCCTTAATGAGGACAGGAGAGGCAGATGATGGAGAGTCAATTATAACCTCATGTTGGAGAGTAACACTATTTCACCTTTCATTACACCTCAATGCCATGGGCTAACTGGGTCTCATCAGTTAGTGAAAGGTACTCATGCTAGAAGGCCACGCTGGTGTCAGTCTTGTGTGGAACGAAGGAAAAAGGGAAGTTAGAGGAAGATTTTCGGCTTTAAAGTCCTCCGTACTGCGGCATTTCACAAAATAGGTCTAAAACATATCTAATACAAAATACAGACAATATAGCAAACATGCATGAAATAATATAATTTTTATCTCCTGCAAATTCTCAAATAGTGCCTCTATTTATCTCAACTACACAGAGAACCCAATCATTATTTGAAAAAGGCTCATATTATAAGACAGGACTTTGATTGTAATTTTCGGATCTGCTTCCATTTCAAAGGAATGATAGAAATCTTGCTGAGTTACGTGTGATGATTGATATATATCTGTTGGATAAATATTCAACTACACACTGCAACCCGTTAGCTTAGCTTAGCATAACAACTGGAAGCAGGGCTAGCCTGGCTCTGTCCAAAGCGAAGTCAATCTACCTCAAGCTAACTTCTAAACGTGTTATATCTCATTTATTTTATTCATTGAAAAAAAGTTTGGAAGACAACACCTTTTGTTTAAATGGAAGATTATGTGGCTAAGTATTTCTTCTTGACAAGGGAGTCATAGATGTTGATGTTGTTGGCTGATAATGCAAACTTAACACTGTTGTTTCCGTTTTGAGAACACAAGTCTCATGATATACTATTTATTTCCAGTCACTTCCTGTTTTTGTTTTACAAATCTCTAGCTATTTGAGTGATGGTTATTCCAAGCCTTCACTTTTTTTACGACTTGTATGAGTATTTGAATACTTGCTATCATTTGAAGAGTTTGTAGTATTATATTATTCACACTGTATATTTCCTTTCTAACTGAAGCTGGACGCCTCACTCTAAATCTGAATCTATAGTCATGTCTACTCTTTGTTCCTCGCAGATCCGATGGACAAAGACAGCGGGCAGTGTGTCGGACCGTTTCCATGACTCCAGTGTGTTCAACCAGACGCTCAACATTGCAAAGATCCTGAGGACCCAGGGGGGGCGCTACTACTGCAAGGCTGAGAACGGCCTTGGATCCCCCGCCATCAAGTCCATCCGGGTGGACGTCTACTGTAAGTGCCATGTTACCATGAAAATGCGCCCTCTGTTATTATGGGTTTCATTCTTGGGTTACAAGGAGGCAGACTGAGAACAGTACGTTTTTCTAAAGGTGTGATTGCAGTTTGTATCTTTGTTATTGACCCTGAGAAAGGTGTATATTCACACTTCTGAATATGCAACAAAGTCTCTTAGCGCTACAGTCAAAAACACTAGTGCCGCTTCCACCATAGATACCTTTTAAATTGTAAGAAGTGAATATGCTTTAGAATAAAGTACTTCAAATAAATATTATGTGGAATGAAACAAGTCCTGCAACAACCCAAATATTTTTTAAAGTCTTCAAATAAAATCCACCTATAAACAGAGACATCTGCAGCACAGACGTTTAGTGCTGATCAGTGAGAAACATGTAAAAAAACCTACAGCCCGATTTAGCAGCGTTCCATATTTATGCTTTGAAATAAAATGTTGTTATTCAGAGGTAGGGCATCCAAAGAGACCCCTGCGCTCTCCTGAGAATGTTAATTAAGCTAAAACGCTTTTATTATCCCATCGACTGCAAGTGCCACCTCTCTATTTTTAAAGTTTCAGTTCGGCGAACGGTGAAGGCTCATTAGCATTCATCAAAGAAAAACAGTGATTTAGTGTTGTTGTTTTTATTGATCGGGCATTGATTGTCCTATTTCACCTCGCATGTGGGTCGAAGAGTGCCGAGACGGGGGAGCCGCTGCCCTTTCATCGCAGTCGCATCGGATAAACTTCCAACCACCAAGAGTTTGTATCCAATGAGTAATATGTGGCTGTGTTCTTATCATCTATATCAAGGAAAGTCTTTCTGGCTGCTAATTCGGAAACAAATCGAGTTGTTGCGCTTTTGAACGCCTCCTTAAATGTTCACTAGTGTTAGACTTCTTTCTTCTCTTCTCATCTACTCTTTCCTCATTACATTTTACATTATATGTTATTTAGCCGACGCCAACTTACAGTACATACACTTAAATACCATGGATTGCATGCCTATGGGAGCCATTTTTGGGTTGGGTATCTTCTCCAAGGACACTACGACATGTTGACTGCAGAGGCTGGGATTGAACTCCTGACCCTCTGATTGGTAGATCGGCAGATAACTCCCCATTGGTCCCCTGAGTCAAATCTGCCCTCCTCTCCTCTCCTCTTTAGACTCCCTCAGTCGCACTCAATCCTGGCTTTCTTTGAAATACAAAGCAGAAAAATTAAAAAAATAAACTAATATGAATCTAATATAATCAATGACCTCTCCCTCTTAATTTGTTGCCAAGCATCCAATTTGCAGTCGCAGAGGAAAAAACCAAACATATTTTGCAGTAAATTAGCTCCACTCTCCCAAGTCCTTGACACGTTTCCAGTAAGGTTCATTTGATGCATTGTAGATTGGAAACACTGGGCTTTTTCTTCTAAGGGTCTCTCCTCTGCCCATATTTTCTTTCATGTCTCGGTCTTATTCTTTCCCCATCCTTGTGTCTGTTTATTTGGACTGACACGGGCAAAGGTTGTGGAATTGAAACTAGTTTGTAAAGCCCCTTGAAGGCCTGAGCGTAGCAGCAGAGCAGGGCTGAGTGTATCACAGTAGCTGACAGTCAGAGGCCTTGTTCCCTCGTGCACCGTTTCACCTTGGCTGCACTAAAGAGCCGCAGGAGCAGACGTGGAATGAAGCCAGAGAACACACCAGAGGATAATCAGAGAGATCCTCAATGAGCATCATTTTGAGGTCAGCGTGTTCATGCTGTGGATGCACTAAAATTGTACACTTGTGTATTTTATGTGTCATAATAAGATTTTTAAAAATGGTGCCGCCCCTGGGCTGAAATTCACATGCTACAGCAGCAAAAAGGCACACCAAAGCCCCTTTCCACACATCCACTGCAACCATGATATTATCTAGATATCACCCAGAGGAGCTGTATGTGAGATTGAAAGTTCTGAATCATTCGGATAGGAGATCCTGCCGACTTTACCCGCCGGCTGCCTCATACTAATGTAATGGACCATTGAACCCATGTATGAATATAGCAGCTAATTCTCTTGAGGGTCCACGAAGAGCAAGTGGCCACTCTAATGCCATTTTTACTGCGGCCGCACAATCGTAAGAAAACATACATGGAAAAAGAGGGGTCCCCTCTTCAGAATAAACTTGTTTAATTGGAAAGACATGAGATTTGGGATTTATTGTTGGTAAGGGCCAATGCCAAAATCCTCAATAGGTTTTTATTCAATCCAGCTGCAAAAGTGAAAATGCTTTTGAAATTGGCAATCTCCGGTTTTGTGCCAGGCAAACAACCAGATTAAGAGGTGTAAAAACTGATAAAAAAAACCTTTTTAAAATTAAAACAGAAAGATGTTTTAGAAACTAGATAAATGACATTAATAAGAATATAAAATAAATACATTCTAGTTCCTGAGACTACAGTATGTGAGTGCACCATGCAATTATTAATGCAAAAATCTAACAAACGTGCAACGCAGCTAACACAGCCATGAAGCGTAGACTATATTTTTTAAGTATAGTGTAATTGTGTAAGTATTTGTAAAATGAACACATTATACATCAATGTTATACATACATTGATACATACATTTATAGAAAAACGATTTTATTCCAAAAAGTAATATTCAACGTTTACAAAATAATATAATGCAGTGTAATTTAGTTATATAATATATCAACAGGGATCTTCTTTGTATGCTTATGCAATTACATCAACAAATGAGCAGTTAATGACAACATGTAGAAAAGAAACTTCAAATATTGAATGACATGAATATCATTAAGCAGACATGCTTTGTTTCTTTCACACAGTAGTGCTTTTTTTAAACTGCCATCCTGATGGTGTCCTTGCATCTGGCCTTGTAACACAGTATGTGTGTACTTCATTAGTTAGCATTGTGCTAGACTGCAGCAAAAGCACATCAGTCCTCCTGAGCAATGTTACAGCTGTCCCCTGGGGGTGCATTTAATTGATGGGCCTCTGCAGTGCGTGCTATTTTTAGTGGTTTGCAGCTACGATTTTTAATTAGTATTAAAATGGTTGTTTCTGAGCTGGACCTCCCAACAAGAACAGCACCTTGAATTATGTGTGCCGTAGTCTTTTCAGATGTATCTTGCATGCGTGTCACTGTTTGTGTCTAAAAAAAACAACACTGGAGGTTATATTGGACTGTACCATTCCTGAGAAGGGGGGGTTCTCTGTAGCACACACAAGACCAGTAATTTACATAAACAGGCTTATAACCTGAAGATAGTTGTAACACTCACTTCCTTGGTTTTCTTCCCAGAAAGATTATCATGCCTCTGCTTCCTGGAATCGAGGTTCTTTTTTTCAATTTTTAAATAAACACTTGAGAGCTTATTCACATATGCACGTCCATTAGTTTGGAGTATTTTGAACACGCCGTTTTTCACAGAGGTAGCCTGACTCACTCCCAATGAAATGATAACAATGGAAATAAGAAGAGCTAAATGTAGACAGATATACAGATAAGACAGCAAACATCTTCTGTAGACTGTGACCAGCAGATGTAAACAGGAAGTAGTAATTAATGCTAATGTCTCACCTGCACAGCCCAAAAGAGCTGATATAAGCCACATAGCCAGCTCAAAGCTAACATATTTACAAAGCTCTGAAGTCCATCTAAGCACATTTTATACCTGCTGACACTTCAGTTGTGTTTGTTTGCAGTTAGGTCTGTGGGGAAGGTCTGTGCAAAGTTAATAAAGAACCTCTCCCAACTCCTACACTAATCGATTTGAGGCTTAAGATGCTCACTTCTTTTTCCTACAGGGGACTCATTTCTGTGTTTTCATTTAATTTCAGCTGCATACATTTTCCTGCAGCATCTAATGTTTCATTGAGTGACTGATCGAGGAGGGATTAAGAGTTCTGCAGGGCCAGCTTATTGCAGGCTCAGAGAGTTCATCGACCATGGCCAGCACAATATATCAAGTAGAGATTCGGGAGGAGGCAGTCAGGGGGAAATGTGACCAAAGTGACCCACCAAAAAAGACAGTTTTTAATAGAGTTTAGAGGCATTCATTATTGCTATGTAAAGCATGTTGCTAATGAATGAAAACAAGTAATAACCAGTCAACTGTTTTTCAAATACATACCGGTATATTAAAATATATTAAATGGTGCTGAAATGAATGAAAAACAAATCAGTAATCAACTATTTAATTCCTGTGTTTTATACTGTGTGTTGGACTAACCAAGCAATTTGAAGACAGCACCTTGAGTTCTGTGACCCTGTGATCTTGTGGACTAAATGTGCTATTCATTAAAATAATTTAAATGAAAAATAATCATTGGTTGCCAACCTAATATTAATCTGCTGAATGAATCCCAGCACAACTCCCCCGCCGATAAACAACACAATCATCAAAGTCAATAATTGGTGCCCGAACATAGAGGTGGTCAAATTAACTCGGAGAGAGCGGAACCGAATGAGTTGAGCTGATGGACAAATGGAAAACAAATTGCTGTGCCTTAAACCTGCTCAGCCCAGGTCAGCATTTACCGTACAGGTTGTGATAAAAGACCACTTTAACAACTCACTTTAAAATGGTCTGAACAAGCCGGGCAACACTGAATACATTAAGATTCAGAAAAAATGAAATAAAAACATGCAGCCAATATTTTTCTTTCCAGAGTTCACAGAGAAGAAAAAACACTTTGTACCGTTTGTCCATATGCTAATGTTGTGCAGAAGATATTAATGTTGTCTGCCTAGTCAGCCAGTGCCACTTTGTCAGCGCCTGTGAAATAGTAAGAATCGGGGTTATGCATATTTTGTGAAAAAACAACCCACTGGACTGTAGATATCACTTTACTGAAGCTTTCACACAGCCTCACTGCTCCCTGATATTTCTCACTACATTCCCTCAAAAGAAGGATTAGAATAAGACAATAGCCTGCTTTCTGTGTGTTATCTTACACAGCCCTTTCTCTATACGGTGCCGAAGCCAGACAATTCTAAT